CCCCAAAACCCCAAAACCCCAAAACCCCAAAACCCCAATTTTCATAAATCAAATTGAATGGTTTTACTTCCTCATTCAATTAGTACTTACTTGGATTACTCCTGCTCTGAGCTGGCCTAGCTGGAGTCGGCTTTGGAATATTCGTTGGTGTCGCAGGCGTTGGCTTTGGAATCGAGTGTGAATTTGGCTTTGCCGGTGTAGGTTTTGGGATAGGTACAGAATTATGAGATCTCGAAGACTGTCTTTGGGACCTATTTGAATTTTGAGCAACAGTCTGAGCTGGCCTATGATTCGGATGCGCAGAATAACTTGGATAGCTTGAATAGCTAGGAGACCTTGAATGGTTTTCTTGGAACGGAGAATGGTGATTCTCAGTAATGTTCCTCGAGTGGAAAGGCGGAGGTGGCGGTAAGGAAGAGGTCTTGTTATGGAAGTGGGATGAGTTGTAAGGCAACGGATTATCGTGAGGGTAGAAGAAGGTAGAATTTGGCCCGTAGAACTCAGTGGAGTTAAATGGAATTGTTCTGAGGTTAAAAATTGGGTTAAAAGGATCCCCTAGTTCATATTCATCAATAATGATGGGGTCGTGAGGCTCACCTTTTTCGACCAATCGAGATCCTATGAGTCTGGGTTGTCCAATGATGTCTACACCAAATTCTTCCTTATATTCCTTTGCAGTTTTAGTCTGGTTGTTTCTAAGATTATCAATAAACTGCTTTTTAGTTTCTTCAATACCTTGGTATTTTCCTTCTCTTTTCCCATCATCATGCCCATGGTCATATCCTTGGTCGTATCCATCATTGTAGCTTCTTCTTTCCGCGTTCTTTATCTTTCGTTCTTGTACATTAATATAATCTCTTTCATATTTTCTCATCCAGTCGTCCATTCTATAGTCAATCTGCTTCTGAGCTCCTTTAAGATTCGCTTCCAGGTCAACAGCTTCTCTTTTCATTGTTTCCAATGCATGTAAAGAATCCTTAATCTTTATGAACAAATCGATATCCTTCCTAGCCTCTTCTACTGAATCGATATCTTCACCTCTCTGACAACGAGCTTGGGTTGTTTCTTTCTCAGCTTGCACTGCTTTCCTGTATTGATCGAACTCTTGCTTAAGTTCTTCATAAGCTTCCTTAGCTTTTGTAGCAGCTTCCTGAGAAGCTTCTAGAGCAGATTGGCATTTAGACTCTATATCTAGAGGACTTGGACCAGAAGGAATTCAAGGAACTGGTGTTCAAGAAGGAGCTACTGGGCACGGTTCTGGTACTGGACATTCTATAGCTGGACAATTCATAGGTGAACTTTCATCAATTGAGTTCATATTCTCAGAAGCTGGAACTACTTCAATGTTTTCTTTTGTCTCTGGAACCTGCTCTGAAACTGGCTCTGGAACTGGCAGAGGCAGCACAGGAAGATCCAGTGTCATATTTGTCAAGAGTAATTTCAAATTATTGTATGTCTCATTGGTGATAACTTCATTTGTCATTAAATCATTCTCATCAAATAAGACAATCGCAGGATTTTCAGTGATTTCATTGTGCTCCACTATCCTTGCCAAGTGTATATTCCTCATATCAATTCTCATTAATTGAGGTCCTGATGGGATTCCTTGGATCCAGGATTCGCCTGTAAAATTTTGATCAAATGGGTCTTCAAAGATGGTTTGAATTTTAAGAATCATTTGATCAATAATTTCATCATATTGATCTTGGTTGTAGAACAGTAAGCCTCTGTATTGTGCAGGGTCTTCGTCGAGGAAGAATTCTACATCTCCTGAATCTTGTCCTTCGAATACATAGCCATGAGCTATGGAAAGTAGAAATGCTAGGAAAACTACTGGCATGACGTTGAATATCCGCATCACAAAAAGTTTATTTTTGAGATTTAATTTTAAATTACCATTTGAAGAATAAAAAGGGGTTTTGGGGTTTTGGGGTTTTGGGGTTTTGGGG